TCGTTAGTGTAGTGACACGTTCGGGCTTCCGTTTTCCACGTGCTTTGACCGTTCTATCCTTCCATGTCACCTTTATCTACCTTAATTCTTTGACAATAAAAACTTTTTTTTTTTTTTTAAATTACATAAATTAAAAAAATAAACAACCTCATTATTTTAATATCTGATTAATTGATAATCTTGCTTAAATAATACTATTTTGGCAATTTTCAATTTAGAATTAAGAAGTAACAATTCTTAACGCCGTAATAACTTGTAAGTGTACTTGGACCTTGTTTTTTTTCTTTTTAGTAGTAAACTCAGGTCTACAAATGTGTATTAGAAAAATTACGTTCTTCTGAATAATTTGTAAATCATACGAAATATTTAAAATGTACTATGAAAATATTGTGCCATGAGCCCGATCGATAAAAAAAATAGAATGAAATATTCGATCTTTTTATTGTGGCCGAAAAAATAAATATGATTATTTGTGGATAAAGTATTTTATTTATTTATTTTTTTAATTTTTAATAATCTCATTGTATTTGAGTGGCGTGTGGTAGCCACCGTCGTGACTGCAAGAAGTATCGTGTAGCTCTTGCTGCGGACACAAGCACTGCACAAGTGGATTGGTCAATTATTTTCTTATTTCTAATTCTTTTAAATAATACATTTTATTTTATTTTATTTTATTTTATGTTTTTTTCAAATAAAAGTCGTATTTTGTTAAGATGCCCAATTTCATACGTTCATTTGCAGCGAAATTTGTACTCGAAATATGGTCGACAATGATCATCGGTTGTTGAATAAAAACCAATCAAGTCTCGGCCCTAATTTCCTCAATACATGAATCGAAATCTTAAATTAGGGTTCTTTTGAAACAAATGAAGTAGTTCGGATCCTTTATTCGAATCGAATATTACATCTCATATCATACTTTATAATAGCTTATCTTATCAATTATATATTGTTTTCTCTATATTAGCTCCACATCTCCTTGTGTAAGTAATAAGTGTATTAAAAAAAAAAAAAAAAAAAAAAAAAAAACCCATATCTGGGAAATATTAGACTTCCGAACAACCAAAATTGAACTCGTGAATCTTCATTTTCCCATTTAATGCAAGTGCAAGCAAATCATACTCTTCCACGTACCACAGTTCCGACACTTTCGCCTGTATAAAATTAGGCCCGTAAACGTAAACCAGCAAAAATATTAATCAGTTTAACATATTTTTCACTGATTATAGTGGAAAACGCCACATGGATCCGACCCATTTTGGATCTACTCTTTTCGGATCCGACCCACATACAGTCGAAACATGATCTGTTGATCCATCGGATATAAAATGATCGATGATTTTTTTATTTTTTTTATTTTTTTATTAATTTTTAATATACGAGGTTGAAGTACCGAAGAAGTGAAAGTACCTTTAGTCCTCGAATTTGGTTGTTTAGTCTGTCCACGAGATAGTGAAAAAATTGGTTATCCGACATTTTCTTTTCCTCCTGCACACAATATATATATAATTAGATCATTCAATTTAATTAACAATTTATCATCAGTAATAAATCGACGTCGATACCTCGGTCAACTTCTTAGGCGAACCTAGAAGCCTTGCAAATGAAGTATGAAGCATTGCCTCGTTATACTGCAAAAACAAAATAACAGCACATCAGACGAAAAACAAAATAATGTTCATCTTGAAAATTAATTTACGAAAAAACGAGAAATATCCATTTTTGAAATTCGGTGATTGATTCACCATTTTTTGCATTGTAGATATTCGGACAAATTAGATTTTTGCATTAAGAGAAAAAAGATGTTAAAAATGTGGGGTCCGTACGAGCTGCTTTTGTGGAGAACGTGGTAGAGCAGATTTTAGTTTAGCACGAATAGTTACTGGATCCGAACCCGAGACTACCTGAAAAAAACAAAAAAAAAATAATAAAAAAATTAGATCAAATTCGAAGTTAAATCTTAGATAGAAATAAAAAAGAATACCTGCCAACAACCCAATAACACACCAGTCGAGGTCAAAACCACTCGATCGATGACTATATGCAAAGGGCATATAGCCTTTGCAACTGATTTTACGGCCATAACTTCATCTTCAATCTGGGAAATCGATAGATTTATAAATGCAGTGAAATTAATAATATATAATTAGAAATAATCAAAATTACAAAATTGAGAAATAAAAAAAAAAAATTAGCTACCTCTGTTTCTGAAGCAGAGACGGGAGCTATGTGATGTGAAGCGTGGAACATGCTAAAGTGGTACATACTCGAGTTCTGAAACCAGATTGCTAAGCAAATATCTTATAAAAACATTCTCGACAAAAAAAAAAAAAAGATAGACGCATGTAAATGCATTTTATCCATTAATTTAAAAAAATATATTATATATGCAAGAAGCAGTTTGTGAAAGCTCGTTTTTTGAAGGCTGAAAGCTATATATATCTTACCTTTATCAAAATACGGGGAAAATATATTCTTCACAGCTTCCCTGCATTAAATTTAATGCAATTAAACTGTAATGTCAATCAAGAAAATAGATTAAACTAAAAAAAAAATACTCACGAGATTGGATCAGAAAACTCGGTACTTAAATGCAGCACATTTGCCCGCACGGGTGGATTTGCTGCCTACATAAACGGCATAAATGTAAACTATTTATCATTCACTTCAAGAAATAAATGGGAATTAATTTACAATATAAATAAATAAAAAGGGATTCAAGTTTAGTCGAGTTTCGGAGATTTACTTTAAGCACAGGTGTCACTATTTCATCCTTTAGAGTGAAAAGATCAGACAACGATAAAGACTGAGAAGTTTCTCCGTGTTTAAGAAAAACAGCTCCGTTTTCGTCCAAATCTTCGGCCATTTTCGAGTAAAGTATTGATCTCCGCTCGGCATTTGAAATTGAAGAAGCTTCTGCAAAATCAAAATTCTAGTAATGACTGTATAACATTGATTTGAAGATCGTCAATTTTGTAAACTCTAAAAGAAACCGAAATTAGGAGTGAGAAGAAAATCGTATTTGATTTCGGCTCATTCATCTAAGTAACATATTTTTGACCTAATTCAACAGAGCTGATTCAGATCAATCTCAACAACATATATTTGGTAAAACCTTAAGGCAGTGTTTGGAAGCATTTCCATTTTTGGTTTTATTATTTTTATCGAAACAAATTCCTGTTTGTTAATTTTTTCAACGAAAATCTCCAAAACAATTTCGAATGTTTCTCTCTCCTCCCAACATAATTTGACTCCGGCAGCAAAAAGATTTGACTGCTCCAGTAGAAAACAAATAAACATCCCTTCATTTCTCAACTTCTTGTTCTAAAATACTTTTTTCCAACACCTTTAAACATGATTTGACAATTTGACTGCTATAGTATGATACGTATTTTGTATCTTCACAAAATATAAACAAACATTACTTCTCAAATTCTTCCCTCAAAATTTATTTCACCAAAATGAAATGAAAATAAGCCTCAAAACTGCTACAGTGTATCTTGTCTTTTCTCAAACTATAAACAAACAGTACTTTCATTCTCAAATTATTCCCTCAAAATTCATTCAGCTAAAATAAAATGAAAATAAGCCCCGAAATCGACATTGCCTAAATTTTCGGAAACCTAAAATGAACAATTCATAGAGTAAATGGACAAAACCCCAACAACATAGAAAATACTAAGAATCAAACAAACGAATTTGAAAATCAAGAAAACTTAATTCCACTCAAACATTAAATCTAAAGCAAGATTTAAAGGGTAATAAATATTACTGGAGATTGTGTGGCGATTCATGGAATTCCGTAGAGCGATTTGGAGGAGAGAGAAGAAAGCGAGGGCTGAGATTAACCAGATTGCGGTGATCTTCACAGAGCGAGTCCACCACTTCTTTATTTTCCCTTTTGCCATCACTTTTCCAAATCAATAATCGCTATATTCCTTCATTTATTTATTTATCGATATTTATTATTCATCACACCATAAATCATGGCTGAGTTCTTTGGCTTTAACTGAAAATGATTTCCGTCTGCAAGAACAGAAGCTTCACCAATTTTACGTGATTTCCTTTTTTTTTTTTCTTTTTTTTTTTTTGTTTCTTTTCCAATTTAATATAATAAAGAGTAAATTACGTAAACACCCTGAATTTAGGCTAAATAACAAAAAATACCCTTACCTATTTGTAATCACCGTAAAACCCCCTGAGGTTTGTTTCCGTCTTACACCAACCCCTTAAAATAGTGTGTGACTTTTCACGGATTTTTTTTTTATTTCAGAGAATAGACTTTACACAATTTCAGATATTTTCTTTTATTTCTCACATATTTAACAGAAGGTATAAGAATATCCTTACGTCGAACAGCGTTGCCCAATGCCCCCATTGCAAGAATACCCGGACAAGCTTGCCAAAGAAATATGAGTACTTTCGGGGGATTATAAGTTGCCAAATCATTTGCCATTTTCTCGTCTAAGACATACTCCCCGCTGCTCCCGACAAGTGCGTCTACCCGAATCACCTAAACTCGTCTTCAAACAAAGATAATAGTATGATCGTACATTGAATTAAGCACTAGGAGAGTAGTCCCCATCTGAAAAGTAGCGCACGAAAAATCTTGGAAAATAGAAGACCCAGGCGCGTTAAAGTCCTCCACAATTGATTAGCTAATAACGCCAAATTGAAACACTTCATAAACCCCCATGCCAACTCTATTTTAAGAAGACACAATTTTGGCCAAGCGAGCCATGCCATTCTACGCTTATCTCCCGCCTCCCACCAAAAGCATTTAATAACCGATTTAATATCCTGAAGTAGTCCCTGCTGCAATAAAAAAATAGCTCATTACGTACGATGGAATTGCCGGTAAGACTGCTTTGATAATTGCCTCTTTGCCAATCAATGAACGATGTTTTTGTTATTTGAGGTGTTTCGAAATAGAAAATATTTGGACATAAATTCAGAGACAAGGAAGAGTCAATTTGTGCTTTTAAAACGTAGATCTATATCTACACATAATAACATACACCTATATGTATGTATGCTCAGTGGGTAGTATTTATATAGTTCTACGTTTAAAACTACATGATGCATTTTTCCAGGTATAGGATCTCAAAAGCTTTAATCTTACCGACAAAACGAGGTATAAGATATTATATTTTAGGGTAAATTATAACCAACCCCCTGAGGTATGGTTAATTTACGAAAAAACCTCTCTTGTTTGGATAATTACATCTACCCCTCAACTATGATTTTTTCTTACACCTCCACCCTTATAGTCTCAAATTCTACATAATCATGTAGATTTCATGGAATGTCTCTAGTTTGTACTCGTTTTATGTAAAAATACAGTTTCTGATGCACCACAATCTGATATATACAAGCCAAAAAACACATATTATGATCATCTTGCTTCAAAATGTGGAGTTCGAGTGGGATAAAACTGGTACAAAAGTGATAATATTCCATATAATCTAGAAGATTCCACTAAATTTGAAACCGCAAGGGTGAACGTGTAAGAAGATTTATCGTTGAGGGGTGGATGTAATTACCCAAACAAGAGGGGATTTTCGTAATTTAACTATACCTCTGGGGTGGTTGTAATTTACTATATATTTTAACAAGCTTAAGAAAAAGGAGAATTGCTCGTATATATGTGAAGAAAAAATAAATTGAAGACTCACTCAGTTTTAGCATTGGGCTAAGAGCCCAAGAGAATTACATTTATCTTCTGGGCTTATATCAATCGTATTCGTAAGTTATAATCGAGAATAGGCCCATGTAAATTATATTGGGAATTAGGATAAGTGGTGGACATATTATAGTTTTTTTTTTTTTAATAAGAATTAATGAATTTTGAACTCTTCATCTAACTCAATCGAAAATCGAATGTCCAGACGTTTATGTAGCACGGACACGGCGACGGTGATATGGGGAAACGAACACGGGAAACGGCATATCCCAAAAAATAGGGATATGGGAGCTTGGGGGAAATGTATAAATTTTAAAAGTATAGGGGTGTATTTATAAGTATGTTGTTTAAACATATATATAAGTTTTTATTTATATATAATTTTATTTATATATTTTTATACAAACATATTCAAAGTAAAGTGATAATCAATTGCAAATTGATCATTAAATCATGTAAACAATTAGGGAAACAACAAAAATATTTAAAAAATTGTTGTTGAAACATGTTTCTAACCTATTAGAATTACCAAATGAACCCTAAGTGTCCGGCAGGTGTCTTCGAGTGATGGACATGCAAGAAATATGTCCAAAACGCAGAAATATTAAGGTTGAAATTTTTGTGCTACATAACATACGCTTAATTAATGATGTTGAGAAATCTATTAGCAATAAGATTAGCAAATGTCATGTGAACTTTGATTAGTAAAAAAATTCATTTGATTAGTATCAAAGTATTGCATTAATTAATGTAAACTTTCACATCATAGATTAGTTAGGTCTTTTCTAGCATTTAGTGAAAAGAATATATTTGAAGCTATATAGACAAAGGCTTCCACATAGTTCACATGGCATTTGTTTCATAAAGTGAAACTCAAAAGAGAAAACTATAAGTTTCACTTTTCACCTATGTCATCTACTAAGGAAATCGAAGGTAAGACAACTCTTAAAATGTTCCCTAAGGAACGACCTAGCGGTTAGAGCAAGCGTGTTTCTGTCAATTGACCTAAATTCGAATCCATTTGTCAACGGTCGTTAGGTCGAGTTTGTCACACATGGTTAGCCTAGTGTGTTATACGTCTCTCGTATGGTTTACAAACTATTATACGAGAGTGTAGGATTACCCAGTGTACATTTATATATGTGAGTTCCTTTATTACCAGAAAAAAAATGTTAAAATAAAAAAGAAAAGCCCTCACCAAACAAACATATTGATTTTGAAACAAGTTACCATATGTACTAGTGTCAACTATTCAAAGGACTTTTCTAAATGGGACACACATCAAACAAGGTACTATACACAACCACTCATGGGGGCTAATTTCCATAATACTGTGCCAGCCTATGCAAACTTGTAATACAGCTAAGAAAAGCATAGGCATGTGGGTAAAAAAGATAAAATATCAGCTGGTTTTTTTAGTATGTAGTAGTACCAAACAGCCTTCATCCATCAATCATGCATGTTTATGTTGGATCTCTCCAGTTTAATACGAGTCGAGCTCAATCTCATCGAGTTATTCATAGCTAGGTCATAATTAGAATCGGTCGGGAGTTGTTGTGGCCGATTTCGATTCGAATATTTCTGAATTTCGGAAGCTCCCATTTCCAAAATTTTGAAGTTTTTTAACAAAATTGGAATTTATAAAATTCCGATTTCCGACTTGATTTTAATTTCCGAAAATTTTGATGTTTTTTTCCTCTCCAAAAACTACACTTATAATATCAATAATATTATGTATTTTCTATTACAGGTGGCTGAAAAAAATAAAAAATCCAAATTCAGCCTATTATGATCCTTTTTTTTTTTGGGATTTTTTTCCCATTATTATTAACATAATCGAAATTAGTTTTTCACTTTCGAAAAAAGTGATTTTTTTTCTGAGAGTGCTATTTTTCATTTGTTCTGATTTGCCCTTTAATCGGTAGTGATCAAGAACGCGAATGGGTTCTCGCACTAGCTCCTTGTTGACCAAACGGAGAGTATATGTTCGTCCGACCTACATCACACAATCGAGTTAGCTAAACATAAGTATCAAAGATTATTTATAACTTAAAAACTTAATTGGGATTTTGCTATTAATAAACTAAATTTAAGAGCATAATTTATTATTAATTCATTATTGTTATATTTAAAAGATAATTTCATTCTATTAATCGATCACTTGAATTCTTTTCTTTTTTAGTAGTTTTAAGGCTTGTTTTGTTGGTTTTCAAAAAAAAAAGGCTCATTTTGTTATCGCTATAAAGTTTTAGTACTAAATAGTAGCCGGCGCGGCTAATAACACCCTGGCTGACTTGATTCACACATTTTCAAATCCGCTATTAAAATCAAAGTCCGCTATTAAATGCTACTATTTCATTAAATTAGTAGTCCCGTAGAGTAATTTAATAAAGTGTGACTAAAGTGGTAAAATACTATTTTATCCTTCAAGTTAATTTTATTAAATAAAAAATCTTATAGACAAATTTCATATAATACCAGAATTAACAAATTTAACACAAGATATAATCGAATGAACCGAACGTCTTACCAACTAAATAATAAATTAGTCAGAGAATTAATCAATACCATCTAATCCAAACTAATCCTTAAGCAATTAGCCCGTAATCAGAAAGTCCACATCGCAATCAACCGTGGACCACTCATAGAGAAACACACACATGTACACATAGAAGCCAATAATAAAAGAATCATTAGAAACATAGAAACTGAATTAATGGACCATTTATAAACCCAAATTTAGGAAATCTTGTACTTGCTAATTTGTTAAGAAGGTAGGATTTTGGCCCCTAATTTCGATGCCGACTAGGTTAGTATTAGTTCCCAAAGAGAAGACAAAAAGGAAATGTCATACTATTTTTCGGCTCACAAGATCTCATGTAATGGGACCAATTTGTTGTACAATTTTGGTTCCAACCCATGTGCAACCATTTTGGTACTACCATTTGACAACTTCTATATCAATATAATAATTATTATTATGGTATGACCCCTAACACAATTAAGTTGCACAATAAATGGCTGATAAAATAGATGGATGGTGAAATATAATAGTGATATGCCTAATTGGCCCAATACAACGAGCCTACAAATTATTTACCTACTGGGTCACGAGCCCAATATTGAAGACCACTATCACCGAGGCCCAATCACCTTCAAGTAAGGTTTGGGCCCGACAATCTCAACCAAGCTATAAATAAATGTTTGAACTCATTCCTTAAGGTACGTCCGATTAACTGAGCAATACTATCAACTGTATTCTCTGGACTATTTCTATGATCAACACGTCTGACTTGAGCGTCGGAGGGGTTTCCCCCGAATCAACCCCCGGCTTAGTTTACGTGTTCTGTGATCGCAGGTATCTCAAGGTCAACAAGCTCGTGAGCCAGTGATCCACTCTGCTCTTCCAACTCATCCTACTTCAACTCTCTGAGGTGATCTATCTTTAGCATCATCAAATAGTTTTATTTCTAAGGTATAGTTTGTGGGGTCCACGCATTTACTTCAGACGAGCTTCGAGTATGGATCGAAGGACAGCGCACGCTAATAGAGCCGGGATTTATACACGATATTTTTTTTATATTTCTATATACAATAACAGGGATTCGAGGTATGAGGAGGGACCATAGCCTCATAGTCCTATGCTGACTCTGCCACTAAGAGCGCAAATTGAGGACCAACGTGGCAAAGTTACATGTTAGGTGGTTGATTGGTTATTAGTTCTTACATACTATTATTGCAAAATATTTTGGATATGTAAACTATAGTATATATAAGAAAAATTATAACAAGTAACACTTGGGATTCATTTAAATAACCTTAGTGGTCCATACATGTCTTTTTCCTATGCATGTTTGTTGAGTCTATTGTCATTCTTGTGCCCCACTCTTGAAATGGACATTGATAATTTTGATGGATGTTGTGTTGAAGAGAGATCAATAGATGGAGAAAGAAAGACTTACTAAGGTGAAGGTGGGGTGGGGTGGGGTAGTTTTGAAAATACAATTAATTACAATTTAAATATCATAATATATTAAGATTTTGAAAATTTGAAAATTCCTTTATTTCGTGCTATAAAGCATGAAATGAAGAAGTCGATTTCATGATTAGTAGTAGCACGAAACAGAGGTGGTTTTTTTTTTTTTTTCTTTTCTCCAGTTCAATCGTAAACTTATTCTAATCGATGTAATTTGTTAAGTACACAATAACAATAAAAATGTTAAAACTTCATAAAGAAATAATTTTTATCTCAAATCATTGTCGAAATTGAGAGTTCGAAAAGGGTTTGAGAGGATTGTGATTTACTCGAATAAAAGTTACAAATGAAATAAAATCGCACCGTAAGACAGTAAAACTCGTACTATGAATAGCATTTCAATATTTAATACCATTTTAATATAGGTATCTCTAAACTTTAATCGAAAAATAATTTGAAATAGATGGAGTACTATACAATCTCAATTCAATAAAAGATTATTTGCGTAAGTGAAAATTATATTAATGGGAGGGACATGGTATCAAATATGTGGCAAATAAATAAATAAATAAACAAAGGAAAATCCTAAATGCAATTGGGTGTTGATATAAACTGAAAACTAATCATTCAGTGAGCCCATTCACAGATGGCCCCACAGAACTTCAACGGTCCAGATCAAACTATCACGTGGGCCCATCTAAACCCACCACCGATCTTTATGGCGCCAGCTCTATATGTGTGTGTGTGTGTTTGTGTTTTCTTTTAATTATATATATAATATAATAATAATAATAATAATAATAATAATAATAAAATTAATAAAAAAATAAAAAGATTTAAGGGAAATTTTCCAACATGTAGGGCCACACCACCTGAGCCAACACCTGGAAACTGATAAGGTATGGGCCCCCACACAGCCCAATTACACAGCCCATCCCCTCCCAAGCACTTTTAATATATCAATCATACAATGCAGTAAATAAATATTTAAAATAAAAAATAATTTATTAGAGAAAAATGGAGTTAATTATTAAGAAAATAAATAAAAAAAAAAAAATTTGATGACTTTCAGACAGGTTTTCTATGCTCAGAAACCTTATTACAAGTCACTGTTTCATTCACCTCAACTATTACATAAATGTTCTATGCTGCAGAGGGGTCCCCAAAATTCCCCCCCTTTTTTTCTTTTTAACAATTACTTGATCACACTTTTTACCCTAGACTAGATATTCTCCAATATATATATATATATATATATATATATATATATATATATATATATATATATATATATATATATATATATATATATATATATATATATATATATAGAGAGAGAGAGAGAGAGAGAGAATGCACCTAGTAAATTTTATTGGATAGTATCCAACTTTATATCTAGGATTGAAAATAAATTTATGATAGTATGTTACATTATACCCAATATATTTCACTCGTTATGACATCAACATAAACACATGTACTTCGATCCAATTAAGTATATACATCTATAGGACATAGGTGTGTATGTTAATTGAATTTCTGAAAGAAAAAATTTGTTTAGTAATAGTTTCGATCTATCAAGTTCGATAGTATATTGCCTAAACATAGCTCATAAGGCCTGTCTAACTGGTGGAGTAGAAGAGCAGTGTCAAATGACTCAATTTTCAATTGTTCTATCAACATTTTATTGGCCTAACACATCATCTACGTGGCCTGGGTAGTATATATAGTCCCGTAAATGATGACTTAGGTTGAACTCATTACACATAATATTTTTTATATGCGTGGTGCGAGTAATATTACACAAAAATGGAATATAATTTACCCATTGCACTTTCGAAAGACCGACAGTTCTCCTTGTTAATTAATAAAAATTAAAAGAATAATAGAAGAAGAGAGAAGAGAAGACGGTTATGAGTTAAAGATTGAAACTAAAATCCCATAAAATGGGAAACTGCAAAGGCATTGCCCGAGTGGTATTAGAGTGTACTGGATATTTTCTCTGGCTTCGTTGTATGTCATTTATAAGGCTAATGTTTTTTCAAAAAAGTAAAAATAAAAATAAAATGGAAGAGTAGTTTGCAAGTCATTAAATAGAGTTTCTTAAACATATATAGCAAATCAAGAAAATCAAAAAATGGAATTTCAATGATGAAAGATAAATACATTAAGAATGCACCAACCAAAAGTGATGATAAGATTTTGGTGTGACAAATTAAAAAAGAAAAAAAGGAGAAGAAAAATCAAATGTGACTTCTCACAAAGCCAGCAAATTAATAACACTCCCAAATTGTTAAAAATATTGTCTTAATTCCCCAAACTCTAATTATAATCACACACAAAAAAAATAATAGTACCAAATCAAGAAAAGAAGAAAAAACAAAGCCCCAAAAAATAAAAAGAAAAAACCTCAATTTTGGACAAATTAATCAAACCTCACGTGTGTGTTTTACACATCAAACTACACAAACACCATTGGGCAATGGCTGCATTTCAATTCACGAATGGTGGCTGTTATCGTCGTGCCTATCATCTCCGCCGCCGCCGCCGCCGTGTGACCCACTCGCCTGAGAATCTGACACTCCGCTTCCACCGCCGCCCCTATACGTGTTTAATCCAGCAAGCATGCCCAATTGCCCATCTCCCATATTCCCGCTACCGCCCCCGCCGCCGCCGCTTCCTCCTCCACCGCCACTGGGCAACAGCGCGACGGGCGCCGGAAAATTCATGAAATGCAGACCGCTAGACATGGTTCCTCTATACAAAGCGGCGGCGGCGGCGGCGCTGCTGTTGTTGATATTCACCGACGGAAATGTCCATATTGGATCGCCGCCCATGACTTGGTTGTTGTTTGAATTCGCCACCATCCAGAAATTCGCCGGAATCGAAGCGTGGCTCGCCGGCATAGCGCCGGTGCTCGACTGCAGCAGGTAGCTGCCCATGTGGTGGTGGTGCTGCGGCTGCAACTCCTGCTGCTCCGCCGCCGCCGCCCTACGCTTCCTCCCTAAACTCTCCTCCGCCGCCTGATTCTGATCGGTCAAGTCCAACGAATTTTCCCGCATTTCCTGCTTCGTATTATGCGCGAAACTAGGGTTCAAATTTGCCCCCGCCTGAAAATTCAGCAGCGTGGCGGAGGAGCTCTCCGACGAAAGTCCGATGCCCGGAAAAAATCCCCGCCGCTGCGGCATCGAGTAATTCGGATTGAAATACGTGGATCTTAGCTGCGACGGCACCGACATGCTCGAACCGGAGCTACGAAGTGAGATGTTCAGAGAGGTGAAGTTCGCCGGAATCGTGCCCGTGCCGGTGGCGGCGATGACCGCCGGCTCCGCCTGCTGGAGCAGCCACTCGATGGTCTCGCCGTCCGACTTGTGGCCGAGCTCGCGCGTGAGCTGGAAAACCCTAGCCGCGCAGAGCGCAGGCATGCGGATGCGCCGCCCGCGGCCGTCGACTTTGGTGTGGCGGTCTTTGGTGGACGTCCGCTTCGGCGGCGGCTTCTTCGATGTGTCTGAAGCTGCCGCGGCGCCGCCGACGGCGGCGATTTGAAGGCTGGAGGAGGCGGTGGCGGTTGATCGAGGTGTGGTGCTAGTACTAGGGTTGGAAGCAACGTCGGCGGAGATGGCAAGCGAAGGATAGGCGGCGGCGGCGGAGCTGGTGGATTCGTGGTCTTCTTTCTTTTCAAGTAATTGGAAAGGAAAATTAGGGCGGCTGTGGTGGTGGTGCTGCTGCTGGTTGTGGTGGTGGTGGTGGTGGTTGTGGTGGTGGAGGTGGAGATGATCATCACCTCCTTCCATGATTACATACACTGATCTATCCCAGATGTAACACTAATATTTGGAACTTCTGTTTAATACATATATAATATATATGTATATACTTATATATATATAACCCTAATTAAAAAACCTTGCTTTCCAATAATTTTGGTTTTTCTTTATGTGGAAAAAAAGAATAATGAATATATAGAAGTAGAAACTAGCTAGTGTGTGTATTTGTGTGTGTGTGTGTGTGTGTGTATTTTAAATAAAAGAGAGAAAAAATAAAATGGTAGTTAATAATATAGTGTCTCTCTTTTGATATTTCTCTCTATTAGGAATGGTGCCCTGTGATACCTTTCAAACATTCTATGTGTTTTTTTGCTTCATCAATGGAGGAGAGAGAGAGAGAAACAAGCTAGAGAGAGAAAGTGGGATAAGAGAGAGGAGGAGAAGCTTTTAAGCAACAAAGATAATGAGTGGGAATTATATGAGGGGATGAAAGAAAAAATAAAAAATAAATTGGCAAAGGGGGGGCAAAAGGAAAATATGTGCTTTTGTAGGGGTCTTTAAGTAAAATCTTTTTGGCAAAAACCCCTTTGTTGTAATGCACCAAAAAAGAACAATAATGAAATATTATGATCATTCTTGATTTTTACTTGGTTCCTTTCTTTTTTCTTTGTTTTGATTTGATTTTTCTTTTATTTATTTTATTTACAAGGGAACCGCAGCTACTTAAAATTCAATGAATAAATTCTTTTGTCCCGCAATAATATATATGAGGTAAATTACGATCACCTCCTGACGTAAGGTTAAATTACAAAAAAAATCCTCATGATTGGATAATTACAACTACCTCTCAACTGTAAATATTCTTACACGTCTATCATTCCGGTGTCAATTTATAAGAACGTTCTAAATTATGTGGAATATTCTATAGTTTGTACCCGTTTTACCTCATCCAAGCTCCACATTTTGAAACATGATGATCTTAAGATGTGTCTTTTGGCTTGTAATTATCATATTGTGGCATAAAAAACTGCAGTTTTATACAAAACGAGTACAAACTAGAGAACATTCCATGGGATGTAGAAGATTATGTTGAATTAGATACCATAAGGATGGACGTATACGGAGATTCATAGTTTGAGGATATGATTGTAAATTTGTAATTACTAAAATATGAGGATTTTTTATCTTCATAATTTGACCTTATCTCAGGGGATGGCCGTAATTTATCCTACATATATATGACGAAGTCCATCTAGAAAATATCAGCAAAGGGGTTCAAACTCGAAAGAAATGACATTACGCTCGCTTGCTCCACTGACTATATCACTATTTATTTTGGAGGACTATATTTTTTCTTCTTCTTTTCTTTCTTCAAACTCGAATGAAATGACATTACGCTCGATTGTTCCACCAACTAGGTCACACTTTATTTTACGGGATTATAATTTGTTTTTTTTTTCTTTTTTCTTTTTTCTTTTTTTCTTTTCTTTTTTTCTTTTTATTGTGGTTGGACAGAGGCTTTGGTTCAGACTCCACGTGAGGTGCTCTTTTTATCATTCAATCCATAAAGACAATGGTGTCCAAAATGGGACCCAATTTATAAGTCAAAAAAAATTGAGAAAGACTTAGGAAAATTGAAAATAATCAAAATAATTAAAAAATATTTGGTGGGGGTGGTGTAATCATTTCATTTTGCCTTTGGCCCTTTGCCTTTGTTCTGCACCTTTGAGCCTACTTCGGGATTCCTGCTGGAATTTTGCCCCTTTGCTTTTTCCGGGCACTTGTTTAATTACCCCGTAATCAATGTTCTTCTTAAATTAAATCCTTTTTTAATTATCCTTATAAGATCTAGATATTTATAAATTAGCACCCTCACACTTGTGGGATGTAACGAATCTAGTCGAGTTGAACGTATGTTTATTTAAGTTTTTTTGAAGTTTTATTAAGCTTTTCAAGTTGTGTTTGATCTTAGTCTATAAGCAATTCAGCCGAGCTCAAACGAGATTTCATTTCACCGAACAAAAATAAAATCAAGATCAAATAACTTAAGCCTATGTACAGACCCGTTCCTAGGAATTCTAGGGCTCAAGGCGAACTATGTAGATCTTTGAAACATGGCCCCCAGCAGGGGCAACTTTATCTTTTTTTTTGTTCGAAGTAATATAACAGAGTAGGTTTAGAAACTTGCCCCCCGATTTTTTTAGAGGTGTTGAGTGTAAGTTTTACACTCAATCTATATTTTCTTATGAGGATTTTTGTGGAATTTTTTGTATTGAATGATGCTTAATCACTTGATTAGTGTATTCTAGATACAAATTGAAGAATCAGGAGTCTAGAGGATGGAACGAGGCAAGAAGGGAAGACAACCAGCCGCATACCAAAAATAGAACTGAGACAGCCGTCTGGAGATTTTAGTTAATTCTCCGACGGCCGTGCCGAAAGGAAAAGAAATCTAATTGAAGGTTAAGACGGTTGTCTGAGAAAATGAACTAAATTTCGCACGACCGTTTGAAGTTCCTCGACTGCGCATTATGGGAATTTTAATTGCATAAGGAAGCTTCTATATATTACCAAGTCTTAATTACACCTATATAAGATAACCTCACATACGAAATCTGTACTTTTTTTACGCAATCTTAGAACAAGAAGAACGTGATAACGGAGAATCGAAGACAAAGACTTGACGAATCTTCATCATTGTTCTTTTTGTATTTCTCTTTTCTGAATATATGTACTTTTATTTATATATATATATATATATATATATATATATATATATATATATATATATATATATATATATATATATATATATACGCACTAATGTATAAGGAATATTTTTTTAAAACCGGGGGCTCCTAAAATTCATAAAAAGTCGGGGGCCCAAGGCGACCGCCTTTCTCGTCTTCCCTCAGAACCGGACATACCTATGTATAAGCTATGTAACGCACATTTATCTCCCTATAACGTTTTTCGTAACACCATCCCCTCTCTAGTATTATTTATATGCTTATGTGTTGGGTCATTTCCTTTTTAATTTTATGTACGTCCAATAAAAATTGGGAAAATTAGAGAATACTCCCTTAGCTAATATCTCACCCATGTGATATTTTCATAAATCCAAAACTACCCTTTTATTGTCTATTATACTCTTTCAAAACCCTAATCTTATTTTTAATTTTTCATTCCGCCGCTTTCTCGTTTCTCTCTTCTCTTCTTCTATGTTTTGTCTATTCTCTGTTTTTTTTCTTTTTTTTCTCCGGCAATCTTCTCCTCGTCGCTGCCGTCGCCGCCGGAAGATGGAGAAAGAAAGAAGAGGAATCACTCGTCGTCGGCGTGTGTAGGAGAAACTCTTCTTTCCCAACAGCATGTTCCACCCCGTCGGCACGTGGAGGAAAAAATAAGGGGAACAAGCTGTTGAGAAAGAAGAAGAAGCACTCGTCGGAGGAGGAGAATCAACGGAAATTGTTGATGAAGGTTTTTTTCTTTTTGTTCACTTTTATTACTTTTTTAGTGTTTGTTTAGTCATGCGCTCAAAAATTGTTTATGGAGTGACCAACAATATAATGGTTGATAAATACCTTTGAATCGTTTTTTTTTTTTTTTTTGTGGACATTGAAATGCTAATTTTGTGCTTTTTTGTATGCATTATTAATTTTGTTCTCGTTAAGGATTGGTGGAATTGTGTGGTACGACGGTGTGGTGACGATAGGGAAGCAAATTTAGGGTTTTTTGGTGAATCAGGCGGAGGACGGCGCGTGTAGAGAAATTCGCGCACACTGGAATCTTAATCGACTATGTACATGTTCAATAGTCGAGAAAGCTAATCGACTATGCTCTGGTAGTCGATTAAGGTTGATTGACTCCAATTATTTTTTTTTTTTGGATTTTTTGTTTATTGATTCCAATTGTATAAATCAATTATAATGTTTGTATATTTTTTGTTTTTGTATAATATTGTCGATTTTGTATTTTTTTGCAGTTGTGATTTGTTATTTTTAGTAGCAGATTCTTAATCGACTATGCTTCATCATAGTCGATTAATATACCTGATATAGAAAAAAAAATTAAAAAACAAAAAAAATAAAAAATAAAAAAAATTAAAGAATTTCCTTAATTGACCATGCTTCATAGTCGATTTACCTTAATCGACTATGCTTCATAGTCGATTAATAAAACTGATACAAAAAAGGGGAGAAAAAAAACGGAAAATAAAAAAATAAATAAATAAAATCGCGCGTGACGCAGTGATGTGTGGCCGGCGAGGCAAAGTTGGAAACATAATGGCTGAAAATGGGTGTGGATTTTTCTCAAATGGAGCAAAATATTTTGGGCCTCTTCCCATTAAAAGAAGTAATGGGAGGTTTTCTTCAAAGAGCTCCATAAAAATTAGATTGTTACTTTTTTTATTTATGTTACCAATACTAGATAAAATGAAAATAAAAAATTTAGGCAGGTAGGTGGTGCATAGTTTAACCCTAAATAAATTAGGGGATAATATGTAGGGGTCACTTATACCAAACTTAATTAGAACTCTAGATCACCCCAAATTATTTTAAAATACACCCCTATTTCGAAATATAATACAACCCACACATCTCTAATCTATTTTTATCCATAAGTTGATTTTTTACCCTAAATTTAATATTTATATTCACATTGCTCTACATATATATTTCTCTTCTTTGTTCTCCCTCCCTCCCTCTCTCTCTCCCTGCCATCCACTCTATGATCGAGGAGGGCGGTGGTGGTCGCGGTTGTAGAGGGACGGGTGTGGCGGTAAAGAAGGCGGCGGCATGACGATGGTGGCTATAGTAGGGGTAGTTATGGCAGCTGCGATGACAGTGCCGCCACTAGCCACCAAACCCTAGGAACCCGCTTACCGCCGCAAACAAGCCCGAAAGGCTTACCTTGCCGCACTATGTAAAGCAATCATAAAAACCGATGCCCTGAGCCAAATCGTACCAAATTAGAACCAAAAGAAATCCATTATTGAAGAGAGGAATTCAATGGTGGGTTAACTGTCTAATTCCAACCAACAGTGAAAAAGTTATTCTTCCAAGAAGCTCATTTGCTATCAAAATTGCGCAAGCACAGTAGATCACTCATAAAACCAGACCGAGAGATCCAAATCGTACAAACTCACCTTCAAAGATATCTCTTGACAAGAAGAAGTCAACCATATAAATCCGTTAAATTCCAACTGGTGGAGAGGAAGATAAGCCTCCAAACAGAACATTTGTTGTCAAACTAATCTAGCGATCCAAATCGTATGAAATCACAGCCATGGAAAGCCCTTGACGAGAGAAATCTAACAGTGATGGGGGTGATTTGTGGCGGCTGCTATAGCGGTGGTGGTTGTGGTTATGGTGTTTGTGTTTATGGAAATAGCGGAGGCAATGGCTATGGCATTCGCGGTGCTGGTGGTGGATCTAGGGTTTCATATATGATGAATGTGGATGACTACAAGTGAGTATGGATTACTATGGTGGTGGCTAGGATTTTCAAATTGCGTGACTACAATTAACTATGGATGACTACTAATGACTATGGATGACTATTTTCCATATTTATATAGGAAAAAATAGGTTTCTATAATAATGAAAATACTAAAGCGGAAAAATAAAGAGAAACCT